TAAGGTAGACCGCGGTAGTAATGTCCTGGTGACTTGGGGTAATTAGTGCCACTTTTTACGTTCATCGAATAGATGCGAAGTTAAGCGAACATGGAAAGGGGCTGAAGTTGCTTGACTAGCTTTCCCCTCAGGCAATCAGCAAACCTTTAACCAAATCTTTAGACTGGTACCATGTTCTTCGTGCTAACACCGGTGCATAAAATCATGGAAGTATTTGAGATTAAACGAACAATAGGAGTATTGAGCCGGAGAGCTGGAAGACCCAACTGAACTGGTTTCAAAACAAAATAAGAGCGCAACGTGCAATAAAATCCTAGCGATGTTTCTTCGAATGTATCTGAGTAATGAAGATGGAAGTGAATTCTGGGTCATAGCAGGTGGCTTAGACACAATTTTGCCCACTCTGATCTCATTTCAAGCTTCTTGCATCCGTTCAAAAGCATTCGTTTCTGTTGTGATCTGCAATAAAGACCTGGTAGGGGAGGACATTTGAAGAGAGTAGGAGGTTGAGGTAAAACTTGGGAATCTAATCCCATGTCAAGCTTCTTGCATTGGTTTTGGGGCATTCAATCTTCGTTTCCGGAAGGTCAAGTAACCCTGTCTCACTTCAAACCTTTTGCACTAGTTCTATGGCATTGACTTTTTCTTTGCGATATGCAACGACGAAAACTTGAGTAGTACTGTACTCTTCTAAATTTCCCTATTTTCGAGATACGCTCTCTAGAGTTAGATTAATCAAGTAAATCGAAGGTGAAGGAATAAGGCATAGTAAAGTGATCTTGAGCTCGGCGACAGATTGTCGAACGCCGGCTCTGAACGTCTCTGATCTGCGTTGGACGATAAAAGTGTTGGAGCTTGAATATTCTCTGTTCTTCTAATCTGAGATACTTTCAACTCTTAATCTCTATAATCTTCGTTTCTATTTCCAAAGACTCCGTACTCACCATCCTTCCCACCCCTCCACAATCCGCATCAGTTGTCCCCACACCAAGCAAGCCACCAATCCTCCCTCGCCTCTCCAACGCCCGTCCAATCTGCCCCCTCCTCTCAACACTCGCCAAATTATGCGCCTGAAACAACACGAGCAGCAAAAAACCCTCTACAATCATAGTCGGTGTATTGCACAGCAACTGTCCTGTCTCACTCCACCTAAGTCCGGTAGCAATAGCAAGCAATATCAGCACCACAACCAAAGACCCGATCACGGCAGAGGGCATGGCGCAATAATAGATCATTCCCTCTGAGATTCTCAGCCCAAGACTCTTCTTCTTCTGCCCTTCCCCATCCTCTTCCCCATTCCCAGCGAAGAAAGGAAGGCCGAGGAATGAGAAGACGGATTGATCTGCGGAGACGAGGGCCTGCAGATGTGTTTCCAAGATCGCAGATTGTCGAAAGTAGACGTTGCGGAGTACGAAACCATCTACGAAGCCAACGAGGCCGGTGTACGTGCCGATTATAAGCCACCAGTTGGAATCCCACATTAGCAGGTGGCCGAGTGCCAGCCACGTGATGACAATGATTGACGTGAGTGCTACGCCGACGCCCGAGCCGACGATGTAGGCGTAGACGTCGATGAAACGCTCTGTCCTCGTCGTTTCTGGTGGTGCGATCACAATGGTGGGGTTTGGGGCCGTGTCGCAAGTCATCTCTCGCAGTCTGAGCTCGAGGGATGAGTCGAGTGTGCGGATTGAGGAGAGCGTCCGGGAAAGCGTGTCGGAGTGGCGACGTCGCACATTTTGAAGGAACATGGAGGTGAAGGTTAGCTCTACGGCGACGGCGGTGTTGATGTAGAGTTGCCAGATGTTGCCCCATTGGAAGAGGGGACCAAGACCAAGCCAGACGAAGGTCCCGATTAGGTAGACGGTGAGGGCGGGGAGGGAGCCCGTTGCAAGGGCGACTATGTCGCATGCTCGGTCAAAGAAATTGACTTTCTTCTCCTTTCTTTCCTTGTTATGAGACAAGGTAGAAGGTTCCTTGAGTTCGGATCCTTGCAAATCTTTGAGTTCCTGCAACTGAGAAGGAGAAAGCGAGCGCAGCATCCGAAGACAGCTGGCAGATCGTGATCTCATTTCTGCGATCGATACGAGGAAGGAATGCGTTGCATTTGCTTGCTGCCGCATCAGCAGCGTGTCGGAGACGTAGCATTGGATCGAGGATGCGTTCTGCATGACGATTTGCCAGATGTCTGTTGCGCCTAGCACGATGCCGAGGATTGTCCATACTAGCAGCAGAGCCAATGTCCCAAGAAATACCAGCCGGGATCCGGCAACGTTGGTGATGCTGTCTAAGAGTTTGAAAGATCTTGTCTTTTGCAAGAGTTTTTGGAATCGAGAGGTTGCTGTGGGTATTTGTGTGGGAGGCAGTTTGTATGATGGGAGTGAGGATGATGAGGATGCCGAGGACATGATTGGTGTGACATCACCGCTGCAGGTTGATGATTCTGGTCGCAATTGCGAAGGTGCTGAGATCTCCATCGTTGAATGGAGGGGTGGGCTCCATCTCGCTTTCTTTAGACGCAAACATATTTTCCCGAATTTTTCCATTTCCCATACGCCGAACGCGATGAAATCGTGAAGTCCTAAAAAGACAAGTTCTCGTGCCGGCGAGGGGGAAATAAAGGCAATATAAGATTATTTTGAATCAAAAAAGTAACTAGAGAATCGAATATAAAAATGTGGAAGTGGCACTGGAAATTTATCAGATCAGAAGCCGAAAGCGTGGACAAGATGCAGGTACACGAGATTTATCAGATCCGGTGCAGCATTCGACTGCAACCACTGATCAAGAAAGGACAAATATGGGTGACCTGCCATCTGATATACACGATGTCTCCTGAGTCTCCTCGTTGGCTGCTTTTCGCACCATGACCGCTCGGCCAATCAGCATTGACGAGTTTGTCATTACTAGTTGCGGGTGTGTTTTGGCTCCTCCGATGTTTCGGTTCATCCTATTTCGGGTTACGCTCTGACTGCAAGGCCCGATGAAACATACAGGGAAAGGGCGGCACAGAGGGGAGTGGGCAGATATGTGTTGTGGAGGAAGAATTTGATTTGATAGCCCGTGAGCAAGTGTGAGCCTCGCTTACCGTACATATTTCCACTTCAATTGCGACCATACGAGCAAGTAAGCGGTGATTAAAGAACATCGTGGTGCATCAAATCGCACGGTCCTGTCTCTTCCTATTCTCCCTCTGCCTCTTCTCCTTTGCCACAACCTTCCGTCGTTTCTTCCATGCACGGTTAACATTGCCCCTGTTCTCCCAGAACCATTTCTGGAAATCACTCTCCGGCTCAGCCTCCTTTTCTTTTCCTTTCGGTTCGCGAATTGGCGAACTTGCTTGTTCTTCTTCGTCATCGTCATCATTGTCTGTAGGCCATACGAATTTCTTGTTTGCGTGCGCAGTGTCTGGAGTTGGGGCGGCGCTGCGGATACCTCGGTACTCGAAGTCTTTTTGCGTGAAGGGAGTAAGTGGGACTTGAAGGTGTGTTTCTACTGCGACATCTTCGTCTTCATTGTCTCCAAAGAAGCTGAATGACGGGCCGGCTTTAGGTTGCTCGTCAGATTTTCGTTTGTAGAGGGCTTCCAGGGGATGGACAGAGGATGCAATCGGGGTAGATGTTATTGAGTCTGGTATCTTGATAGTCAAACCTGGGCCTGATGATGATTGCGGGCGGGATGTGATTGCAGATTGTGGTTCTTCGACTTCATCTTCTGATTCTGAGGAGGATTCTTCTGATGACTCGTCGGATGTAGCAGTCTTTTTGGTGACTTTCGAACTCGATGCAACCGGGAGGTGATCGGATTCCTCCTCTGATGAACTGTCCTCACTGGAACTCTCTTCGCTGCTTTCTTCCTCGACTTTAGTGATTGGTATGCTCGATGCCACAACCTTGTGATTCAACTCCTCTTCTGACGAACTGTCATCGCTTGTGCTATCTTCGTCTTCGTTGGCTATCTTGGATTCGGTCTGCTTCGCGTCCGCTTCGTCCTCTGAGCTACCCTCTGAGCTGTCCTCGGAGCTCTCCTCTTCACTCTCTTCTTCACTCTCCTCCTTCATCACTGCAGGCTTCGCTACCTTCACAAGCTCCTTCCGTATCTTAACAACCTCAACCACACTCCCATCCTCATCCACCCAGCCCTTTCCTTCCACGTATTCCACAACACCTTTCGTCTTCCTGCCACCCGGAGCTCTCAAAAACGTCGCATACTTGACCGTCCTCTCAAACTCATGCACCAACGTCTCCTTCCCCTTCTTCTTATCCTTACTCTTCTTCAGCTTCCCCTTCGCATTCGCGACTTTATTCGGTGGCAGCACAGTCTTAAACAGACACTCCGGCTGCGTTGTAAACTTGCTCTTTGCAACCTTCTCCTTCTCCTTGCCCTTTCCCTTGAGCTCTGCCGTAGGTGTCGTCCATCCCCTCTTCACCTGTCGCTCCCCGATATCAATCCCCGGCACCTCCAATTGATCCCTCTTCCGCTTTTTCCGCTCTTTCTTCGGCCGCTCTGGCTCATCCTCTTTTTCAACAGGCTTCTCCTTCTCCAGACGCGCTTTCTCGATGCGCACTTTCGTGCCCTTCAATATCGAGCCGTTAAGCTTCTTCTTTATCTTTTCGGCGTCAGCCATTGGGAGGTCAACGTAGCCGTAGGACTTTTCGGGGAAGGTTTGGATGCTGTGGTAGCTTATGTTGCGTGCACTGGGCAGGATCGAAGCCGGCAGGATTGTTGTGAGAAGGAAAGGGTTTAGAGGAGTGATGTGCAGACGTGTGTATTCGAGATCTGGCTCTGAATTAGACATTATCGGGCCATCGTTTGTGATCGTGATGGCGGCTGATTGGGGTATGGTTGAATTGAAGGTGTTGAGGTGTAAGCTTGGTGAAATTTCGAGGTCCTCGGCTAAAATGCGGGAAGAAGACTCGGCCACCACTTTTCCCCCGTTTTTGGGGTGACTCGTATAAGTTTAAATAAGCTTCTTTTTTGGCAAATCATTGTCGATTTTGAATGGGCGCTTGGTCTAGGGGTATGATTTTCGTTTCGCATGCTCTAACAGCATTGTCTATGAAAGGTCGTGGGTTCAATTCCCACAGCGTCCAAAAATTCATTCTTTTTGCAATTTTTTTAGTATGTTTTAAGGGTCATCAATTCTTCTTTTACCCCTGCTGTATTTTTTGGCTATTTTTTGAGCGGGATTTGAAGCTGGTAGACGAAATTAGCCGAGCTAGACTTTTTGGCTCGCCGTGGACATGAAAGTAGCACTAATTATACCAAGTTCATTAGGACATTTCAACTTCCACGCCTCTAATTGTTCCTTAAAGGTCTTGTACGTTTAATAACAGCTAAGAATCTTGGAGACGTTGAGATACCTATCTTTTTTTCTCGGAGTCTAGCTCTATTGTCCCACATTGGCCCAAGGACAATGATAATCATTGTCGCGTTTTGCGTCCACCAAGAGGGTGGTATTAATTAAGTAATCTAGCTCATTAAAAAAAATCTTTTCCTTTCTTCACATGAGGAGAAAACATCTTAAAAACAACATACTGGTCGTTTTTTGCAAGTCAATTATATCAAAGCTACTTGGTGTTTCAGCCATGAGGATGTAGAGATTGATCAATTTTCAATGCCCCATAATTGCCCACGACATTCAAGTTTACTCACTGTCGAGACTTATTGCATCAATTCATCTCGTTCTTTAATTGAACTGAGTTATTTCGGCACGTACATTTGAACCTTCTTCACTTTTCGATGTGACGCAGGACATGGCCCGATGGACCTCGTTTAGTTCTCATGACTCTGTACAGCTAAACGATCTCTGCGTCCCGACTTTTCTCCCACTATATTTTACTAGAAATTGAGGACACTGGAAGAGGTCCGTCCTTACTGTTTTGAATAAGAGAAAGACATTCAACTCTTCTCATTGATTATTGTACCACGGTTTCCAAGAATACTCCAGGTTGAACCCATGCCATTGTTCGGGGGGATTCGAGAACATCCAACCTTGATTAATACGGACAATATTATAGAATTAAGAGCATTCAAATCAACCAACCGCTGCTCTCTATACTGTATAACGCAATAATTTAGTTTCCAAAGAATCGAAAATACTCAAGTCCACTCGTTTCTCATAGTACTAAGGATTTAAGTACATTCTAATTAATCTGTCTATTATATATAGTCACAATACAAGCAGCGAAACCGGATCTGTTAGTAATGTACCAAAGCTCTTAAGAACATTCAGTTCTGCTCTTCCATTATATAAAAGTACTAGATTCGAGAACATGCAAGTTAGATTATACCACAATGGAGTAGAGAAGGAAGAATAGTTCAATTAGATTATCCCACACCCGCATCCAGTGATTGTGCTACTCTAATGCAGAACATTCGAAGTTGACCATTTACAAATGTACCACAGCTCTTGGGATCATCCAAGTTTGTGTTCCTATCCAATGTCCAAGGCGAGCAAGGACATTCAAGGACAAGGGCTAAGACTGAGCTTATCGAATTATGCGAAGACATCGGAACATTCCAATCATTTAAATCTGCTGTACCACTCTAGTCGGAACATTCAAGCTGAACAATTGTACCTAGTTCTTAAGAACAATGAAGTCATGCCTTTACCCATTGCTCCCGAGGTTCAAGGTCGTTTAACTCTCACCATTTTCCATTCTCCCAGGGGGGGGAAGGGTATTCAAGCTTGCCCTGATACTCCCTGCGAGTCAGGAACATTCAAAGCAAATCACATCACATTGTACCAGATGATCAAAAGCCGTTCAACTCATTGCATTCAATAGACTTCCCCCATTTATGATTCGTTACTAATCCAACATCTCACGATCCATATCCATCTTCAATCTCTTCCGTATCTCAATGTTCCATCTGCCTTCCGTATATCCATTCATTCATCCACGCGAGATTGTACCAGCTCCCCACCATGCATCGAGGCAGCTGCAGGTTGTACCGGCTTGATGGAGAAAATGAAGGCGCAGCTCGGATGTGCTCAGTCGAGAAGTAGTTGCGGCTCGTCGAGAGTTGGCGGTGGGAGGTGGACTTGTGCTGGTTCGACAGGGAGAAGAGGACGGTTGCTGCTGTAGGAGGACCTAGGTATCGTAGAGGGAAGAGAATTGTAGGAACGAGCAGAAGGGCGAGCAGATAGTACCGGTGAAGGTTGTCGTAAAGGACCCAGTTCGATGTCTTGGGCGGCAACGTCGGCACGGATGTTGTCGATCATGTTGTTGGAATAGCCAAGGTGCGCGAGGAATCTGCCAGTCTTGTGAATGTAGTGGGCCAGAGCACCGAAGGCACCGACCATGAAGATGATGATTCCAAGGGCGAGTTGGAGGTAGGCGGGGTCGTTGCCATAGATAGTTCCTTGCTCATCCTTGTGTTCGGACATTTGGCCGAGGGAGAGCAGGGCAGCCACGAACCCCGCGATCATGATGATCAGGGAGAGCTTGAAGAAGAGGTCGTGGCCGAGGAATGCTAGTTGTGGATGTTCCATTGTTGCTGGTACAATGGTTCGGAGGGGACGGGTGCGGCGGTTGTGGTGTGGTCGAGTCGGGGTTGGTGGTTGTGAGGAGGAGGAGGAGGAGGAGGAGGAGGAGAGGAGGTTGTCGTCGCGGGGAGGATTGGTGAGAAGCGGCGCACTTTGATTGTACACGATTAGCTGGAACAATCATACAATTGCCGTTGCTCGATGGTTACTTCATTGTACTTACAGAGCTTGTACAATCGTGGTTGATTGTACTTGAGTTCGTGGTACAGTGTTGTAGTGCTGGCGCAAGAGATTTCAAAATCGCGATTTTGTGGGCTAGCGAAGCCCCAGACTCGGAAAAGCATTGTCCCATAGTTTCTCGGACATTCAACTTTCCAAAGTGCTTTCGGCCAGTCCAGGCGAGTTATGACATCGTCTTCGAGGTGCATGGATCGTTCCGGAAGTCTTGGGAGACGGGCTCAACCGAGCAGCAGGCTACGCATCAAGAAATATCAGATAGTGATAAATTCAGCTGTTCTAAGACTCATGGGACAATGTGGTAAGTGACTGGTCTGAATATTTTAACTATTTGCAGGACAATGGATAAGGATATGGGTCAGATGTCCCAAGAACTTCTAGACCTGTTGGGACTTGGATGTTCCAAATTTCATGAGATAATAAAATAATGAACAAATTTCCCGGTTTCAAGAGTCATAGGATAAGGCGGTAAATAATTAATACAAAGCTTTGGCATAACTCAAAGAACATTAGGTAGTAACGAAGGTGCCAAGTCATATCTTTGATCAGGTAGCTTGTACGAAGTGAGAACTGTGCATCACAAACTACTAAATGCCCAGGAATGATCCAAGATGACATAGACTTATGACTGGATTTATAAAGACCGACTGTCTCTATCAATGACTTTAATTGTTGCACTAGCTACGAATTTAGTCGAACCTGTGATTCAGGGGCTTAAGCGAGGTAAACACGTATAACTGTGGGCCATGATCGTTTTAGATATGCTCAAACGTTAAGCTTGCAACATTTGTATAATTCTACTGCAAGTGAATCGCATTTGCAGTCAATCTATGATACTGTGAATCATTCCACGATCTCAATGACATTTGCGGCTAACCTCAGTAGGGGAAACGACAGTCACGTCGATAGCAGTGTTATCCTTTGCAACAGCTCCTAACACAACAAAGGACTTGGCAAGAGGTCTGCTCTCAAAACTCTTGAGCTAGCAAGGTAGACCAGGTGGGGGACTCGGTCTCAGGGTAAGGGACGATTCTCCCCTCATAAAACGCACAAACAATGCTTTCAATCTCCGTTTGCAAAGCCAAACTTATGAGCTCTCGACCATCATACAAGGTCTCGCATCCTTGATCTCAGGGAAAGTACAACTTGACAGACTCTAGAAATTGCGAGTTGAGGTACAGATACTTCACTGGAAGATAGAGCGTAGTGAATCCATTGTATAGCTGTTACAAGCATTGTTTGGGTGCTGTCGATCTCACACTTTAGGGGGAGATTTCGAAGGGACTTGCTTAGAAGAGAGGGAAAATGCCATGCCTGTATCTAGATCTAGGTCTTTGAACGCCGCCCATGCTGAACCTATGCCAAACGCCGCACCACACCACTCATCTATACATTCGGGCTCAAAAGATCATATTTCACACATCGCTCAACCTGTGTCGAATTAGCCACTACCCCTTTCATTTCAATATCTTAGAGAAGTAGGAATTTGAATACTCACATCCTCAATACTGGCCTGCAAGAACTTCCTCGCCTCGAGACCCGCCCACACCTTCAGCATCGAGAAATCACCCTGTCTGAGCATCCCACCACCACTCTGTGCACCCAGCTGTCTAAGAATTGGCAGCGCGCTGGAAAGCAGGTCAATGTCTGGATTCAAGGATCTACCAATTCCTTCAAGGAGCAAAATGCTGATGACCACATTGACAAAGTCGCCTTCCATTCTCACATGGTGTGTGCGGACCATGCTGAGAACTTCGTTCAGGATGTCACCAATTTTCATGTTCCCGAGAGCGAGGGTACGGCTTTTGACACCCAGGACGAGATGCTGCATCTTCAGGGCGAAGATCTCCTTGTCGATTACAGCATCAGGTTGTCTGCAGCGCTCACACATAAGTAGGCCGGCTTTATACCCGTCGAACTCGGCTACTGCTTTGAACAAGTCGAGAAAATTCCTTCGATTCGTGGCGTTAAGTTCCGTCACCAGACCGGTATCGATGAAGATGAGCTGCGGTCTAAAGCCTTCTTTATCAATCTTCTCGAGCTCGGCAACCCAGGCTTTGGTGTCCTTTTTGTGGCGGTAAGGACGTAGACGAGCGAGGACTTGTTCCGTGACATCGGGTTGTGATTTTGGGTCTTCGTCTGTGTGCTGTTTGAATGGGAGATGCGGAAGCTGGGGCTTGGAGGACTGGTAGAAGCGGACCATGATATTACCTGGATGAAGATCCGCGTGGATGAAGTTATCGAGAAGGAGCATTCTGAGGAAAGCGTCGAGACCTTCATCCGCAATCTCTTGCTGGAAAATGCCACCACCGTTCTCCATGAAATCTGAAAGAGGGATACCTGTGGCGAACTCCTCAACTAAGACTT